ACGGAGGATTGTACCTGAGGGTGCGTCCCCTCCACGGGCCGGATCACGTGGCGCCAGACCGACCTGGCGGCTGAAGCGGCGCCAAACGGCCCAATGGCGCGCGTTGAGCCGGGCACTGATATCGAGCGTCGCCGACTCTGATGCGGCAGGGTCGGTCTCCTCTCTTGGTCAGCGGCCGCCGCCGAATCGACCTGCTCGAGTCGAGCGGGGCCCGCACGGGAAGAAGTCTAAATCAGTCTGCTCTCAGACTGATCTGGTCTGATCGATCAAGTCCGGACTAGGATAAGCTGAGCTGAGCTCATCATGATATGACCCCAGCCTGCGCTCAACCTGACGAAATCCACCTCAAGCCGAGTACGAAATCACAAGCATTTGGCTGCAGTGCTTTGATATCGTGACGGATGCAGGCACCTGAATTCCCGATAACAGCGCTTCGCTAGCATGAAATTAGGTCGGCTCGCCCGGCTGGATTCCTACATGCATTCCCCCGCGGAACACTTGATCCATTTATTACAAAACTCAGCCATTATAGAAGTCAGCCAGCTATCAGTCCGCCACGATGCATGTCAGACGCTACCTATGAGATGCTTGGTGATAAAATGGTGATGAAGACGCCGTGATGCGCAGCCCAGAGCCAAAATGTTAACGAAATAGTCGTAGGGCGCCTCCGTGTGTTTTGCGTGGCAGGCTGGAAGCGGGAAGCAATCGGGGAATCTCCCTCTCTTTCTCTTCCGCGCTCCCTCTCTCTCTCTCTCTCTCTCTCTCTCTCTCTCTCTCTCTCTCTCTCTCTCTCTCTCTCTCTCTCTCTCTCTCTCTCTCTCTCTCTCTCTCTCTCTCTCTCTCTCTCTCTCTCTCTCTCTCTCTCTTCTCTCTCTCTCTCTCTCTCTCTCTTCTCTCTCTCTCTCTCTCTCTCTCTCTCTCTCTCTCTCTCTCTCTCTCTCTCTCTCTCTCTCTCTCCTCTCTCTCTCTCTCTCTCTCTCTTCTCTCTCTCTCTCTCTCTCTCTTCTCTCTCCTCTCTCTCTCTCTCTTCTCTCTCTCTTCTCTCTCTCTTCTCTCTCTCTCTCTCTCTCTCTCTCTCTTCTCTCTCTCTCTCTCTCTCTCTCCTCTCTCTCTCTCTCTCTCTTCTCTCTCTCTCTCTCCTCTCTCTCTCTCTCTCTCTCTCTCTCTCTCTCTCTCTTCTCTCTCTCTCTCTCTCTCTCTCTCTCTCTCTCTCTCTCTCTCTCCTCTCTCTCTCTATCTCTCTCTCTCCTCTCTTCTCTCTCTCTCTCTCTCTCTCTCTCTCTATCTCTCTCTCTCTCTCTCTCTCTCTCTCTCTCTCTCTCTCTCTCTCTCTCTCCCTCTTCTTCTTCTCTTTTTTTCTCTTTAAGCCTTGTGTTGTTCGCCGCCGAATTACTGTCAAATGCGGATGATTGGATGTAGTGCAGGAAAACTATACAGCTACATTTTCCCGCAAGTCAATTTAGCTGTTTATGGCCACTCTATCCTTCGGATCATAAATTCTGGGTACACTACTGTGTGTGCATGTGTAATTTCAGCTCCCACCTCGGTCTGCTGAGAATGTTTGCTGATCTAATGGGATGTGTAAGCCCGTGCGAAAGCCTTCTTTCGACAATATTGACGGGAAAGAACGGAGCCGGTGCCTCGTGACGACCTCTTATATCAATGCGACAGACCACCGGAAAGATTAAATTATGCCCTTTGCGCGGACGGCGGACTTAAGAAGCACTGGCAGCCATTGGACGAGTTCTCAAGCGATAACAACGCACATGAAATGAGAATTAAGATAATTACTCACAATTATTGTTACGTGAAGCCAAAAAAGTGTAAGGTTAAAAAATATGTACTTTTGATGAATTCGGTTACCGACTAGCTCACAGTCAAAAATGTAAATATGAAGTGGACACCAGATTCGGATACCAGACTGTACCATCTTGGAATGGCAACGAACATTCGCGTTTTTAACTCGAAGATTACTCAGGCTGGGTATGTCATTGTCGTGAGTAAGTTGACAAGATACGACATGCACTCGATGATCAGCGTACACAGTGGCTCGGTCGAGCCGTTTGCTAAGGTCTGCGCTTTGCAAGGACACGAGCGGATACGGTGACGCATTACGTAGTGCGCATGCTCATACATGTCGATGAGAAGAACATTCTCTGATCTACTTTAACTAGCCGTTGGCGCATGTTTTCGTGTATTCGTTACGCACTTGTACCTTTGAGTATTTGTTTATCAGAGGTTACGCAGGTTTGTGAGCGCAGAGCGCTTCGTTTGTGAACTTAAGCACCAAACCACTACTAGTTGCGGTCTATACTGGCGCCATACAACATTAATGCCAGAAATCGAACTAAATCTGTTCATGGTGAGAGGAATAAGAATAGGCCACTATGTATCCAGAACGAGCTCTTGTGATGATCCTGACTGGAGTTTTGGACCGCGCCGCCTCAAGGCTAGTTAGAGCCAATTGAGTCTGCGCTAACTTCTCATCATTCATTCATTGAGATACGTGAGGTGAGTCTTGGATCATGGAGGTTCCAACCATTCGCGATCCAGCGAACGCATCGTCCTGCGGTGAGCTCGACCGATGGGCAATGCCTCAATGTTCGACCGAAGCTAACATTGAGCCAAGTTTTGCACTCCATCTTAGCGGTAAACAGCTCACAAAAGTATTGTCCGTCTAGCCCTATTTCTCGGTCACAAGCGAGCGGTCCGCGAGCCCGCCGTCGCGAAACGCTTCATCCCCCCTCGTTCTTGGTCCCCTCCCAGTCCGTGCTTGAAGGTATCAGCGCCCTACCGCCCGCGAAACGCCGGGAGATCGCGTGGTTTGCGCTGCTGGGCACTGCTGACGATACCGATGGGCTG